CTGCGAATCTAACTTCTCACGTGGATTTATTGTAAGTGATACATCGAGACCCAGTCATGCATCAGCACACCAGCTGGATATTAAAGGTCGCGAGCCTAACCATGAACAAGCTTGGGATCCCAAAGTGGCGGCAATGATTTCCCCGGGGTTGCTCGTCCGTTTGGGGTGGTGAAGCTAGGACCCGATTTATATGTCTCCGGAACAGACTCATATTCCGGATATTTGCCCAATGGCAATTTCTCGGGGTTCAGTATGATGCATGAGCAGGGCACAGGAGGTGCGCCTAAGTACGGCACTGTCGCCCAGTTGCCGTTGATTGGAAATATCAGCAAACCGCTGTCCAACATCACTATTGGCCGGTCAGGTGCAGATGAGGCATCAGTGGGCTACTATAAGGCGAAGACCGCCGAAGGAACCGTCGTGGAGCTGAGCGCAACCGCTCATGCAGGAATCTATCAATATACTTTTCCGAGCGGCTCGGATGGTAATGTCTTGGTTGACGTTTCGCATGTCCTACCGTCGTATCGGGGAATGGGACTCAGCCAGGGATACAAAGGTGGTAATATCACCATCTTCCCCGACGGGCATTATGAGGGTCATGGTGTGTACGACAACGGCTGGAACCGTTCTCCCGACTGGTCTATCTACTTTTGTAAGCTTTTGCCAGAGTCCAAGCCGTTTCACAGCAGAATTAGCTGACTTTACCCAGGTGGCCATTTCGATGCCTCGCCCATCAGCAACAAGACCTATGCTGGAACCGATGCGGGCGGAAGCGTCGAGCAAAGTAGCGGTTTCGCATCGTCTTCTTCAGGTTCAACGCGAGTTGGGGGACTCTTCACCTTCAAAGACTCTGTTGTTACATCTCGTGTGGGCATCTCGTGGATTTCCACGGAGAAGGCCTGTAAGAATGTTGAAGATGAGATACCGGAAGACAAGGAATTCCAGTCGGTCGTAGACGACGCTCAGTCCGAGTGGGAAACGAAAGTCTTGTCGAAAGTCGCCACAACCAACACAAATGACACGACGCTCACCCTATTATATACGTCTCTCTATTTCATGCACCTGCTTCCCACCAACCAAACCGGAGAGAACCCCCAATGGACATCCCAGGAACCTTACTATGAGGACATTTTCACTTACTGGGTAAGTACTTGGGAGACACAAATAGATGACACTGTATCGCTCATTTGATTCGCAGGATCTTTTCCGCTGCTCTACCGCTCTCATGCAGGTGTTGCAACCCGCCGCGTATGAGGAGCAGATCCGGTCGCTTATTGATATCTGGCGATTCGAGGGCTATATGCCGGATTCGCGGTCCTCTAACTACAATGGTCGTACACAGGGCGGCTCGAATGCGGACAATATTCTGGCCGATGCCTATGTCAAGGGCGTGCGCGGTGCGGTAAACTGGGAAGATGGATACAAGGCCATGGTAAAAGACGCAGAAGTGACGCCTCCCAACGATCCAGTCGATCCCCAGGCTCCCGATTCCTCGACAAAAGAAGGCAGAGGCGCATTGCCAGACTGGCTTAGTTTGGGCTACATCACCCCGAGATTTACCCGTGCTGTCACGCGGGCAGTGGAGTACTCATGCAATGACTTTGGATTGTATCAGGTGGCATCGGGGCTTGGGAAGACCGACGATGCGGAGAAGTACTTGAACCGTTCCAGAAACTGGAGAAACCATTGGAATGCCAACCAGACATCGCTGGGATTCTCTGGATTCGTCGTTCCTCGCAACGAGTCTGGTTTCATCGAGACTGATCCACTGAATGACAGCGGCTATTGGGGAGACCCTTACTACGAAGCCAGTTCGTGGGCCTATTCTTGGGCGAGTATCCATGACATGAAAACGATGATTGATAAAATGGGCGGGAATCAAACCGTTCTCGACCGGCTTAACACCATGTTTACTGAAGGAGCCAGCGGTTCCAGCGGTATTATCTTTGATCCCACAAACGAACCGTAAGTCCGTTCTCTGCCTCACTTGGTCTTCTTGCGGGTATTGCTTTTGCGAGGGACATAGCTGACCAGGGTTCTTGATCCAGTATGTTCAACGTCCCTTATCTTTACCACTATATCGACCGGCAAGATTTGTCTGTCTTCCGATCGCGTGATATTGCCAAATCTTATTATGGTACTGGCGTATCCGGCCTCCCCGGCAACAGTGATGCTGGAGCTATGCAGACTTGGATATTGTGGAATATGATCGGACTATACCCTGTGACAGGGCAGTCGACATTTTTGATCCACTCTCCATGGTTTGACTCGCTTGTCATTGACCTGGGGGGTGGTAAGAAATTGAATGTCACTTCGAGTGGCGGTGATGGAAACGGAGGCGGTAATATCTATGTGCAAAGTCTTCGCTTGAACGGAAAAGACTGGAAGAAGAACTGGTTAACATGGGACGACATCTTTGCCCAAGGAGGGACACTAGACTTCGAGTTGGGAGCGACCGCAAGTGACTGGTTCACGGGGGAGCTACCACCAAGCCCGGCTTCCTAGAGAAAAGTCGCGCATGCGCAGGTTCCCGCTTCAGCGTGTATGTATTCCACTAATGATACCGATGAACATATCCGTCAGTACCCGGGAAGGTTCCACCTTAGACACGCTTTTAGCCATAGCAGCTCAGGGGACATTTACTGAGATGAGGATATTCGAGGCTCCATAATCAAAGGGGGAGGTGATGTAGTGTCTGTGCATCCCCGTAAAACCTGAAACCGCTGGGGATGTACTCCGTAGGACACTAGACGTCGAAAAAGGCTTTTCTGGCCCTCAGTCAGTAGGCAAGAACAGTAAACCCATGTTGACGATCGCGTTGATCGTTATTTCGATGACAGTGTTCTCAAAGGTCGCGGGACGAGACGGAAGAGGTACGAGCCATTTGTGCTCGTGAAAGTGGATTGGGCACAACTGAGGTGGGTGAGTGAGGGTAGTCTGGAAGTACCGTAAGGTTCTGCGAGTACCAGGGATCAAGGCCAGGACTATTTGCATCAACAGTTGAACTGAAGGCATACAGTCGGGTCTATCTACTACCTACTACCTACCGAAAGGGGGAAGCTAGGACTTATTCCCCGGCAATACAGTATGCATACAATAGTGGGCCCCACAGGGACGTTCTCCTTACGCCAACTTGCCACCAACGGGGAAGTATCCGGTGTATCGTCTAGCGTAATATCTGTGTATACTTCCCTATGGCCTTGCAAGTTGCGACATGCGAAACCAAGCAACGATCGCCCAACCTCCACCAGATGGGCCGTCACTTCTCCTTAGACCTTGTTGATCACGGCACACAGTTGGATTTTCCCGCTGTGTACCTGAGTGGCAAACCCCTCTTGTTTAGGAGTCTGCTGCCATCTCAGGAACGGGTTCCACGTGGTGGGCTGGCTAACCAGCCTATCCAGGGACTGACTATATGGAATCATCTCCCGGAAGAAACATTCCATAGCAGCTCGCTCGGTTGACCTCCCCTGACTACATTGACGAAATGAGGCTGGCTACCAAGATCCTCAACTTCGACCTGCTTGTTGCATGTGCGGAACTCGACAAATGAAGTTTACTCCCTGCGTTCGGAAACTAATTCTACTCTAAGTAGTGCACTATGTGTTCGCGTCATCACCAGCCACTGTGTCCCTGACTCCATGCAGCCATACATCACCACAGAATACGTATGAAGCCCACACGGCATGTCTCCATCTCGCGTTTATCGGCAAGATTCACAAATGAAATGCGTTTCCAGAAAACACTACAGCGGGAGGGCAAACTCAAATTCCTATAGAATCGAACCACTAGTAAAATTAAACAACTTCACGATCGGTAGTACGGATGCATCTACAGTTGCAGTACCATCTGCGCTCCCAAGATGCAATTGCCAATTTGAAAAACTTCTACTATAGTGGCCGTGCTCAGATGAGTCGTTGCAGCCTACTGCAGCTTCTGAGAGGTAAAGGCCATACGGAGTAGTTCTTGCGCAATTGTACACTACCAGGTAAGACATACTATTCCCACCATGTGTTGTATGCGGGGCACTCAAAGACACTTTGAGAAATCCTTAGCGAATGAATTTCAATGGTTAAAAATGGAAGTATTGTCGAATTCAGGTCACCTCACTAGCGGTAAGATTGCATATCCCCGGCGTCGAATTCATGTTTGCACTTGGCTGGCCACCGACTCGCCTTCATGCATGCATGCAAATATGCATAGCCGTTGCGACCTTAACCAAGATAGACTGCAAATAGTCGTACGCGATGGGAAAAGCAATATACCTTTTTTTACCATCGAATCTCTCCCCTTTATAACTGTTCCGTGAGAGGTTTGGATCGACAGGGACCCGGCATGATCTCAGACATGACGTGCTCACATTTCAACATCGTTAGTGAGAGCGAGTACCAATAGTATGTGTACTATTACTGGGTATAGAAGGCTAACAGCAATGCATGGGTCACAGTAAGTAAATACTACTAGTAAGATGAGGCTGCAGATCCTTATGGCAGTGGCGATAAATGTCCCGGTGGCTTTATGCTCCTTCAACGCCAATCAGCGGATCAGGGTGGCTGCCGATTGGGCGGACAACGTTCACGGCTCGTGTGGCTCACTGCCTTGCCGGTGATATTCATTCGACGGGCATCGGGAAATAGCGACAGTAAGTCCAGCTACAGCATGGCCATTCCAATAGCAAAATCTTAACTGCTTAGCTGCAGGCCCACAAAACAACAATGGAACCCACATGATCGTACATGGTACTACTGTATACGCCTGATCGTCGCCATGCGGTTTGCATGGCTTGAAGGGACAATCGAACGTTGACCAAGCTCGTAGCTGTCTCCACAACCCAGCAACGCTGCATCCATCACGCATACGCCCTTGCGATCCTTACAAGTGCTATTACACCCTAGCACATAGAGTTGACCCGCCAGCTAGTTGCTATACGTCCCAACTGCTAAGGGTCTCAAAAGGATAGGTAATTATGATGATCACTTGAGCGACGATGGGATATAAGAGCAAGCTTTCTTCGTCTCGAGTATTCCTCTTTCTTCTCATCAGCAGCACATCATTCGTTCTTTACCAAAGCCCACTACTGTCATTCCTTACCATAACCCACAAGAACATACCAAAGTCTATTCTCTCCCTTTCAATCTCCTTTATCAAATACCATCAAGCACAATGAAGGCCTCCTTTATCACTCTTCTCGCTGCTCTGGCCACCTCGGCCCTCGCCGCCCCTACCGGTGGTGTTCCTGGAGTCTCTGAGGTCACCAAGACTGTGAACATTGGTTCCGTCTCCAGCAACGTGATTTCCACCCCCAGTGCCAGTGCTAGTGCTGGGGCTACCGGCCACATTGTTCAGGACGCTGGCAATGGTGTCAACCAGGTCCTGACTGTTACTGGCGCCGACGCCAAGAAGCTCCTCGTCCAACTCAGCCCCGAGGTTGCTAATCTCCTGTCCGGCCTGGGTCTGCCTGGCCTTGGATCCTCTGTGGGTTCCATTATCAAGACCGCTGGGTCCGTTGGCGACCTTCTCAAGGATGTCGGCAAAGTCGTCGACGGCCTTCTCACTGTTGTCGATAAGGACGGCAGGGCTCTTCTGATCCAGCTCGACCCCGTGGTGACTGGTCTTCTCAGCGGTCTTGGACTCCCGGAGCTTGGTGTCCCCGTCGGCTCCATTGTCGGCACTCTTGGCGAGAATCTCAAGCGCTCGGCCGATGGAGAGATCGTTCAGGACCTTGCTCCCAAGGTTAAGGATGTCCTCGAAGTTACCGGCTCCGACTCCAAGCGCCTGCTCGTCCAACTCAGCCCCTCCGTCGCCTCCCTCCTCTCCAGCCTTGACCTCCCCACCGTTGGAACCTCCGTTGGACAGATCATCAAGACCGCCGGCAGCGTTGGCGACCTTCTCAAGGACATCTCTACTCCCGTTGAGCAGCTTCTGACCGTCATCGGCCAGGATGGCTCTTACCTCCTCATTCAGCTGTCTCCTAACGTCGCCTCTCTTCTCACTGGCCTTGGCCTCCCCTCCCTTGGCACTTCTGTTGGCAGCGTTGTTGCGACTCTCGGTCAGAACCTGTAAATTGTGAGTGCTCTCCGTTGTGTATTTACCCGATGAAGGTGCCAGTGCTAATTGTTCATCTTTCAGGGTGCGCGGTCACGGTGGTCTGCAGAGATGTCCTTCACATCAGGTTTGCATATACTCTTTTTCTGAGGAGTCGGCCTGGTTTGAATGCCGGCAATGAATAGCAACGAGAACCTCATTGTATATTACTACTCATTTTCGCCCTGGATTGTCGAATGTTGTTGCGGGGCGGGCAGACATGGCTATATATTTAATCATAGAGCTTCATGAATCGGTGAAAACAAGTTTGTCTTCCTGTGTTTGGCTTCTTAGCGTTTTAAATCACGATCGTAATAGCCACTGGTCCTGACTGGAGAGAGGGGATTCAGTTGTAACCGCAGGGTTGGGCCGGCGACATTCCGAAGAGGCAACTGAGTCCGGTCGGCAAGCATGGGCTTACTAGCGCCGAGTCCACCACTCGGCAGGGTCAGCATCCTCCTCATTTCTTTTCAATAACCACAAGGCTACACCTGTACCATCTAGCATTGGACCTAATGGCATCGGCAACCACACGGGCTGACTCAATATATCTCTTTGAAATCCAAACGGAAATCATCTAGAGTATATTGCAATTTAGCATGCACGGCAGACCCTGCTTAAGAGTTTATGCGCCGATTGAAGAGTCTCCGCCCAATCCCCTGATCAGTGCTATGGGCCACCGGCTTAGTCTTGACCTCGGGCGTTTCAGATTGAAGCTCCACCCTTCGTTGAGGTAGGGGAAGGGGAAGTTCCCAGCAATCTCTATGGAAGCTCGAAATTTTCTGTCTAGCAAGTGGTAAAGGATTTTGCATTTTGATTGCACAATAAACGCTGAGTCGTCTGCTATCAGTTAGCTTCATCAAAGGACTCTTGCATCTTCCGCTTACGATAGTCTTTCAAGGCTTGCCCGATGGTCCGATCAGGAGCAAACTGTACAGTATCGATGCCTCCTTAAGCCCTTCAATCAATTTGAGTCTCTGGGCGGGGCCAATGCTCCATTCAAATTATCTAAGACAAACACCCTAAGCATGGAGCAAGTCTCAACCGGGAGATAGCGCATCGATCCCGCTCTTTCGATGTTTTGGATTGTGCCACTACTTCCACATCCAGGAAAATTGCTTCAAGGGTTCCAGCAATAGTATCGATAGCTTCGTCTAGTTCAGTCTTGTCGTGTCAGAGGTTGCCGGTATGGCACCGGCAAAACGTTCTAGAAATAGAAAGATGACAGCGGGAAATAGACTACTGTCAGAGAAGCGCTTGAACAGCTTTTACCTATAAAGAGAGCGCCTGGGAACCCCTGCTGTGGGCATAGTCCGTTGGATATCTCAATGTTCATTCTTTAGGGGTGTTTAGACTCACTTCCTTTCACTCTTTTTTTTTTGTAACCCTCACATTCCTTTCTTTCATTATAGCTCGACGAAGCACCATGCTTCTCGACAAGCGCTCTTTTCTCTCTTTCCTGGGCCTGGCGCCCATCTTTGCTGCTGCGCAGCTCTCCGGTTCCGTGGGACCGCTGACTTCCGCGTCCACCAAGGCAGCTACCAAGACTTGCAACGTTTTGGACTACGGTGCTGTGGCGGATAAGTCTACTGACTTGGGTGCGCCGTTGGCATCTGCCTTTGCTGACTGCAAGTCTGGTGGTCTCGTCTATGTCCCCTCTGGTGACTATGCTCTCTCCACCTGGGCGAGGTTGAGCGGAGGTGAGGCATGGGCTCTGCAGATCGATGGAATCATCTACCGTACTGGAACGGACGGCGGCAACATGATCTATATCGAACACTCCAGCGACTTCGAACTTTTCAGTAGCACCTCCGAAGGTGCCATGCAGGGTCTGGGCTACGAGTTTCATGCCGATGATAACTGGAGCGGCCCTCGTCTGCTGCGTTTGTATGAGGTTACAGACTTCTCGGTCCACGATTTCATCCTGGTTGACTCCCCCTCGTTCCACTTCTCTCTCGACACTTGCACCAATGGCGAAATCTACAACATGGCAATCCGCGGCGGTAACCACGGTGGTCTGGATGGTATTGATGTCTGGAGTAACAACATCTGGGTCCATGATGTGAGTACTGAAGAGCAGAACGTTGCCTGCATGCATGCAGGTCGTTAACTGTTTCAATAGGTCGAGGTGACGAACAAGGACGAGTGTGTCACTGTCAAGGTATGGCCATCCCGGCGAAATGTGTCCCGTAAAAGAGTCTTAAACTAACCGTCAATCATAGAGTCCGTCGAAGAACATCCTTATTGAAAGCATCTACTGCAACTGGAGCGGTGGCTGTGGTATGGGCTCGTTCGGCTCTGATACCAATGTTAGCGACATCACTTACCGCAACATTTACACCTGGAGCTCGAACAACATGATGTTGATTAAGAGCAACGGAGGTAGCGGCTTCGTCGAGAATGTCCTCCTCGAGAACTTCATTGGTGAGTAAATTCTTACGCAACATGATGTGTCCCCCGATGAGGCTAACTGGGAGTTCTTTCTGTCTGTAAACAGGCCACGGCAACGCTTACTCCCTGGATATCGACAGCTACTGGGCCAGTATGAGCGCAGTGGACGGCGATGGTGTTCAGTTGAGCAACATCACTGTCAAGAACTGGAAGGGAACCGAAGCTTACGGTGCTCAGCGTGGTCCTGTCAAGGTGATCTGTGCCGATGGTGCCCCTTGCTACGATATTACCATCGAGGACTTCGCCATGTGGACCGAGGAGGGTGATTCTCAGTGGTACTCTTGTGAGAGTGCCTATGGCAGCGGATTCTGCCTTCAGGACAGCGACGACCACGTCTCCTACTCGGCCACCACTTCCACGGTCGACTCCGCTCCCTCGGGCTACTCTGCCACCTCCATGGCGGCCGATCTAACCACCGACTTCGGCTCTACTGTGTCTATCCCCATCCCGACCATCCCCACCTCGTTCTACCCGGGTGCCACTCCCTACAGTGCTCTGATGGCCGACAGCGCTTCTACTGCCGCTGCTTCTTCCCTTGCCAGCCATGCCACTGTCTCTAGCAGCAGCGTTTCCGTTGCTGCTTCTGTGCCCAGCGCTGTCGCCCCTAGCGAGAGCATCCCCGCTGCCACTTCCGCCGTTGTTTCGAGCGCTGCTGCCGTTGCCCCCAGCCCGGCTGTGGGTGCCCAGGAGGGATCCACTACCTCCGCTCCCAGCTTTGCTGCCCCCAGCGGTGCTGGAAACTCTCCCCAGGGCCCCAGCGGAGCTTCTGGATTCAACCAGAAGGGCCAGCAGGGCGAGCAGAGTGGACAGGGTGAACAGGGCGAGCAGGGTGGACAGGAGGTCTGCTACGTGTAAAGCCGGACCTGCTATAATCCGGATTATGCTGGAGGCTGCGCATCCCACAGCTTGATTCTGAGTAGAAGTTCATGGTAGAGGGCATTTTAGTACCTTAGCATGTAGCTCAATTCTCAACAGCTGCTGTGCAAGCTTTGTGTAACATAGTGACTTTAATCGTCTCCTCAAATGATGTTGCTTTAAGCCTTATTGTAAACATATTGTCGCACTGCATATTGAAGTGGCTGGCCCGTGGCTATCGCAAAGCCTCGCGAGTAATCTGACCGGCCCTCAGACCCCCTGAGCCCCGAGTTGCTGCGTAGGGCGGGTACCTGTTTCCGTACCTGAAGTCAAAGCTCAGCTTCCTCCTGTCGCGTTATCACAACACAGTGAAACACGGATATACACACCATCCCAAAAAGCAGTATACAAATATAGGCCGTAAACCAGCATCTCACATCGATGAATTCTTATTCAACGTTGAGAAATAAGCGCGCGACGAGAAAATAATGAAGGGAGGGAGAAGGAGGAGGGGGGCTGGGCAGACCAGGTCTAGAAGCAGGGGTGTTGCAGTGATGTCACGGCGGGAAGGGTAGCAGCAGCAAACCAGCAAACCAACAGGGAAGAAAGAGGAGCTTTGGCCTCGACTCTCCCCCGCATGGCCTCAACCACCACCACCTCCTCCTCCTACTACTTTTCCCATCGGTTGGGATTCCCCACCTCTCGTCCTGTTTACTCTTTTCCAGAGCTCATCTTGTTTTGACACTGTTAACTAGATTCCTCTCTTGTTTGTTGTACTATTATCTATTCTATCCCTACGGTCCACATTCCTCAGAGCTTAATCTCTTGCCACTGGCGATCCATTCTCCATGGCTTCTACCGAAACTCAAACTGCCCTTCAATCGGCGTCGCCAGATGGTACAGGTCAGTCGACTCGATTTGAGAGTTATTTCTTTTCTTTCGTCTAATTGTTTCGATAGGTGTTATCCAGCTTGATCCTTGGCTTGAGCCCTTCCGCGATGCTCTGAAGCAGAGGTTCCAGTACGTAGAGAGCTGGGTCAAGACGATTAATGAAACTGAGGGCGGGCTGGACAAATTTAGCAGGGTACGTGACATTTCTTGCTGCTACTGTTGTTCGAGATGATTGACACCACTCAACCGGGTTGTTTGGAATGACCAGCACCAACTAACTTGACGTTTGCGGTAGGGCTACGAGAGATACGGTCTCAATGTCAACGCCAATGGCGACATCACTTACAGAGAATGGGCGCCTAATGCTGTTGAAGCTGAGCTAGTTGGGGACTTCAGTACGTCTAGCTATGCGGAGGATATCAGCCGGTGAAACATTACTGAGACTGGCAGACAATTGGGATGTCACGGCCCACCCGATGACGAAGAACAGCTTCGGTGTCTGGGAAATTACATTGCCTGCGAAAGATGGGGTCCCGGTGATCCCTCATGACAGCAAGATCAAGGTGAGTGTGCATAGAGTCAACTAGGCAGGACGTATTTCTTTTAACATCGCTGCGCTTCGCAGATAACCATGGTCACTCCCGAAGGAGAACGAATCTACCGAATCCCTGCATGGATCAAGCGTGTCGTGCAAGACCTTACTGTCTCTCCGACTTATGAGTCCGTCTTCTGGAACCCTCCAGCTACTGAGCGCTATCAATTCAAGCATTCTCGCCCAAAGAGGCCCGAAAGCCTTCGTATCTATGAAGCCCACGTGGGTATTTCTTCGCCAGAAACGAGGGTCGCAACTTACAAAGAGTTCACTGCCAATATGCTACCTCGTATCAAGTATCTGGGATACAATGCGATCCAACTAATGGCCATTATGGAACATGCCTACTACGCCAGCTTCGGGTACCAGGTCAATAGCTTCTTCGCAGCTAGCAGTCGCTATGGTACGCCGGAAGACCTGAAAGAGCTAGTAGATACAGCACATAGTATGGGCTTAGTGGTGCTTCTTGACGTTGTCCACAGCCATGCGTCCAAGAATGTTCTGGACGGGCTGAACATGTTTGATGGCTCTGACCATCTCTACTTCCACTCCGGTGGGAAGGGTCAGCATGACCTCTGGGACAGTCGTCTGTTCAACTACGGCAGCCATGAGGTTCTGAGGTTCCTCCTGAGCAATCTCCGCTTCTGGGTGGAAGAATATAAGTTTGACGGCTTCCGTTTTGATGGCGTTACAAGTATGCTTTATGTCCACCACGGCATAGGAACGTACGTGATCAGTCTCCTATATCTTTTTGTTGCAATACTAACTCGACATTAGAGGATTCTCTGGTGGATATCACGAATACTTTGGCGGTTCAGTAGATGGCGAAGGTGTGATGTACCTGACCCTGGCCAACGAAATGCTCCACAGTCTATACCCCGAGTGCATAACTGTGGCAGAAGATGTATCTGGAATGCCTGCACTGTGCTTGCCGCACGCCCTTGGGGGTGTTGGATTTGACTACCGACTTGCCATGGCAATTCCAGACATGTACATCAAGCTCCTGAAAGAGAAGTCGGACAGTGAATGGGACATTGGCAACCTCTCCTTCACGTTGACCAACCGACGTCACGGGGAGAAGACGATTGCCTACGCGGAGAGCCATGATCAGGCGTAAGTTCATTTTTCCATTACTTCACTTGACCACAGCTAAATCATAGGCAGGCTTGTTGGCGACAAATCCATCATGATGTGGCTCTGCGACAAGGAGATGTACACCCACATGTCCGTGTTGACAGAGTTCACGCCTATCATTGAAAGAGGCATGGCTCTTCACAAGATGCTCCGCCTGGTTACCCATGCTCTCGGTGGTGAGGGTTATCTCAACTTTGAAGGTAACGAATTCGGTCATCCCGAATGGCTCGACTTCCCTCGTGCCGGCAATAACAATTCGTTCTGGTACGCACGTCGCCAACTAAACCTAACGGAAGACCATCTTCTCCGCTATAAGTTCCTGAATGACTTCGACCGCGCCATGCAGCTAACCGAAGAGAAATACGGCTGGCTCCATTCCCCACAAGCATACATCAGCCTGAAGCACGAGGGTGACAAAGTCCTTGTCTTTGAACGTGCAGGCCTCCTCTGGATCTTTAACTTTCATCCTACAAACAGCTTCACAGACTACAGAGTGGGCGTTGAGCAAGCCGGAACCTACAGAATCGTGCTTGACACCGATGACAAGGAGTTCGGTGGCTTCGGTCGTAATCTCAAGGAAACACGGTTCTTCACGACAGACCTGGCTTGGAATGACCGCAGCAATTATCTGCAGGTCTATATCCCAACGCGAACAGCACTGGTAAGTGCAATTGAGTCTATTCTACTAAGACACGAAATGCTAACAATCATGTCAAATCATAGGTTCTTGCCTTGGAAGAGACCCTATAGGTCGACCTCACGTAGTTCTCCTGATCTCCCCACTCGGCTAAAGCCAGCGTATTCAGACAATTGCAGCATAAATCCTAGGGGATGATATGTGTGAATAAGCATACACCACTCATTGTTCTGTTTTGAGTTAATGTCTATAGCGTCTGTTAATGTCTATTCTGCATTCTACCATTTACTCCTTCGATATAGTACCATGATATTTCAGTCATCTATAATATCCATAGTATATGAACTAGTTAGTACCATTAAGCAAGCACTCCCACTCTCACAAAAATATCGGTAGGACCACATCACCACTACTTGATACTTACCTAGCACTACTTAGTAACTACTAGTAGTATTGCTCACGAACCATAACTCGACCCCGATCTCATTCGTTGCTAACTAGTAAGCACTTATTATTATCAAGCAAACTATGAAAGCTGACCCTGTCCGTCCAATACGTTCCTTGCCCTTCCGTTATATATATATTAGAAGCACTACTCGTACTACTAGCTACTAACCATCCAATTTGAATCGAAGCGAAATAGCTACTACTATCTGGGACAGTGATGCTATGTCAACGAGATGTTGATACGTGTCCTAGAAGGGACGTTATGATTTAATATACAGAATTATGCAGAACTACACCCTACGTACCACTATACTACTAATGTCTACAAAGCAGATATCACGGTCTCCCGGAGTAACAAAGGAAATTGAGTACAATTGTCCCAGCCCAGCGGGTATCAGGCTGACTGTGGTCATTTTAACTTACTTACATGAGCACGTAGTGTAACACAAAGCCTGGAAGTTTCCATCCAGACTTTCAGAGAGGTGTACGTTAAGAGCGCTCTCATCCTTTTATATAGGGGGGACCTCGCCATTCTTTCAACTCCCTTTTCTCAATTCGAGTACTGTACACGGATCGGTAGAAAACGGCACATGGAAGAAAGGAAGTCCATGTCTAACAAAAAAGGAAAAGGGCGCTTAAAAACAATATTACATTTAGGCCTTGTTCTCGAGCTCGGCCAAGATCTTCTCACCCTTGGCGCGGGCAGACTCGAAGTCACCAACCATGTAGAAAGCAGCTGTAGAAAAACAAATTAGCATCCATGTTGGTCAACAATTAGAAGATCAAAAGATTTTTAACTTACCCTCAGGAAGGTCGTCACCCTCACCGTTGATGATGGCCTTGAAACTGCGGATGGTGTCCTTGAGGTCGACCAGCTTACCCTCGATACCAGTGAAGACCTGGGCGACGGTGAAGGGCTGGGACAGGAAACGCTGGAGCTTACGGGCACGCTCGACGGTGAGCTTGTCAGCCTCAGACAGTTCGTCCATACCCAGAATGGCAATGATATCCTGGAGGGACTTGTACTCCTGGAGCATCTGCTGGACACGGGTGGCGGTGTTGTAGTGCTCCTCACCGACGATACGGGTGTCGAGCATACGGGACTTGGAGTCGAGAGGGTCGACGGCAGGGTAGATACCCAACTCGGAGATACCACGGGACAAGACAGTGGTGGCGTCCAAGTGAGCGAAGGTGGTGGCGGGGGCAGGGTCAGTCAAATCGTCAGCAGGGACGTAGACGGCCTGGACGGAGGTAATGGAACCCTTGGTGGTGGTGGTAATACGCTCCTGCATACCACCCATGTCGACGGCCAGAGTGGGCTGGTAACCGACGGCAGAGGGGATACGACCCAGAAGGGCAGACACCTCAGAACCGGCCTGGGTGAAACGGAAAATGTTGTCAATGAAGAGCAGCACGTCCTGACCCTCCTCGTCACGGAAGTACTCGGCAATGGTCAGACCGGTAAGGGCGACACGGGCACGGGCACCCGGGGGCTCGTTCATCTGACCGAAGACCAGAGCGACCTTGGAGTCACCCTCGAGCTGGATGACACCAGTCTCCTGCATTTCGTGGTACAGATCGTTACCCTCACGAGTACGCTCACCGACACCACAGAAGACGGAGTAACCACCGTGAGCCTTGGCGATGTTGTTCTAGATAATTTGTTAGTTCTATGGGTCACACAAATCTCCATTTCATGGATTGGCAACTTACAATCAGCTCCTGAATGAAGACGGTCTTACCGACACCGGCACCACCGAAGAGACCAATCTTACCACCACGGGCGTAGGGAGCAAGCAGATCGACGACCTTGATACCAGTGACGAGAATCTCGGCCTCAGTGGACTGCTCGACGAACTCGGGAGCCTCAGTGTGAATGGGACGGAACTTGTCGGCCTTGACGGGACCACGCTCGTCAATGGGGTCACCAGTGACGTTAAGGATACGGCCAAGGGTGCCGGGACCGACGGGGATGGTGATGGGAGCACCGGTGTCACGGGCGGCAGCACCACGGGTCAGACCCTCAGTACCTGTGGAACATTGATGTTAGCCACGGCGAGACGAGTACACGTGGAAGGACCAGGTTAGAGAGAAAGCGGTGACAAGAGGTTGATATTGCCAAGCAAATCTCTATTTTCCTGGTCATGGGAGACAGAGGAAGCTTACCATCCATGGCAATGGTACGAACGACATTCTCACCCAAGTGTTGCTAGATTGGGTTAGCTATCCGAGCTTGATGTCATTGTAGCTTTGATTTTTTGGTGTACATACAGAAACCTCAAGGACGAGCTTCTGGCCACCGTTCTCGGTCTCAATGGCGTTGAGAATGGCAGGGAGCTTGTCACCGTCGAACTTCACTGTTGGCGAGAGTCAGATATCGTGTTCATTTGATGGCCATTGAGTCGAATTTGATGGGATTGTGGATGGAATCGAGGCTCGGAAAAGATTTTCGCGTAGCCGCCGGCAGGGTTTTCTCTGGAACGGGGGACCGGCACATACCGTCGACGACGGCACCAATGACCTGGTGAATCTTTCCAACGGAAGAGGCCTCAGTGCTGGCCATACGGGCCAGGGAAGGGAGGCCATTTGTCTTAGGCTGGAAAGCGCGACGGGCGACGGAGGTAGGTCGGGCAAAAGCAGCCCTCCCGAAGGTCCGGGCAAGACCGCTGTAACAAGGGGGAAAGAAATGGTTAGTTGCAAGCCTTTAAAAGGATTAAAGGTAGATAAAAAATTATCTTAAAATGTAAAAAGGTTGGAGTAGGGATCCGGGGGAGTATAGTCACACACCTCTTGAACATCTTGATGGTGTTGAAGAGCGAAATGGGGTATAGAAAGAGGTCAAAGGGACGAGAGGATGGGGAGAGGGAAGAAAGAGGGAAAGGAAGGGAAGAGGTTGAGGTTGAGGTGGACACGGGCGAATGTGTCCGGCTTAGCCTTTCCGGGGCGGTTTTGCCGACGATCCCGTGATGTACCGAGCAACGCGCTGGCCAGCATGGTAACCAGCTTTCAGCTCGCCGACATTCACTAGGAGGTTCTACTATGGCGACCGCATCTTTACCAGTCTATTCTGCAGAATCTAATGACTCCCGTATGTCCGTGATGCTGGCGGTCGGGGCGTTGATTCGATACTGGGAGCAATTCGAGCTTTCCCACCTTGCCCTGTTTGGTTGTTAGGGGGAAATTCGCACACAAATGGGGATGGTCTTGGCGCCCGGATGCACTGGGAGGAAGGTGGTACCCCATCAGAATAATACTAATACAGACTACTGTTCTTTCCTTTTCTTCTTCTCTCTCACTTTTTTTTTATGCCTAGGTAAATATATATAAAAATAAAAAAGAGAGCTAGCTATAATTAAATAAAATAAAATAAACAACATAAACAATAAAAATAAAACTTTATATACGGTGAATTTTATAATATTCATAAAATCATCATACAACCCAACTCCGAGAAATACCTCCCTTTCCCCTCACATCTGCAAAGAGCGCTCAAGCCCATTTCTTTTCGTGAGGGGGTTGGGGCTGCCTCCCTACAACAAGGCAAGTTGTTCTTTCGCTGTAACGGAAAGGCAGACCGACGATATCGGACGAACGCTGCTGTAACGAAAAAAAATCTGACGTGTTCCCGTGATTACCCTTTCGGGGGTCCCAGCTTGGTTTTGCGGTGTCTCGACGGTAAACAACCGGGCGACCGTGCATTTCATATTTGGATCCAACCAACCAACCCAGCCACCAGCACCACCAGCACCACCACCCCCCATTGATTCCTGAACATGGAGTAGATACACTACTGTGGTTATTTTTATAATAATTTTTCATTATTGTTATTACTGTTATTGCTCTTTTAATTTTCTAGAGGAGCATTAGACTGTGCATTTTTGACTGTGACAGCTCTCTTCCGGTTTTTAAACTTGAACCACCGACTTACCGCCTCTCTACCGAACAGTGGCTCCGAACCTTCCCATTTCTTTGCCTTGCCCAGCAGGGAATATCAAAGTAACGTCATCTTGTATGTAATCACCTATACAGTGATCATCGTAGCATTTTCCCTGTGTACATTGCAAGCTTTATCTATAGAAGTTCTAGGTTAAGATGTAGCACGCGTTTATTTCTAGCTACTAATTAGGAGCGTGTACAATTTTCATCCTATATATCATTCTACAGCATTTACAGCAGTAACACGAAAGAACCTGCAATCTGATCTTTCTATGGCTACAAAGGAGATGATTGATTATTGCACAGTACGAGATACAGAGGTCTTTTTGGGCTAACATTGGCAAACAAGTAGAACAGAGGCGAAGGATCGTGTCCAAAATTGATGGGCACAGAACCGGCGTCATCAAAGGTCGTGCGGTGGGAGGCAGCAGTTCATTCCTGTAGCCCAACACTGCCCATCCACTGCACACCCCGTCGTTATACCTGTTCCTCCCGAGGGGTGGAGGCAATCTATTGCTTCTCAGCAGGGGGGCTCTGGACGAAGCCCTTGCCCTCGTAACCCACGGAGCTGATACCGTAGATAGGGTTGATGTTCTCTTGCTGTTGTGATGATACATATCAGCGACGGTTCCACCATAAAGACAGTGCCAATTGGCAAGTGAATAATGCATATAGTCGATTTCACATACCTTAGCATACTCGTTGGAGGCCTCCTGCCACTCCTTGGTCATGGTCTTGGGCTGGGGCTTGGCGAACATGTGGATGATGTAGAAGATACCAAAGCTGACAAGGGTGAGCTGGGCGACCTTGAAGAAGATCTTGAGGTTCTCGCCCTTGGGGGGCACAGAGCGAGGGCCGTGGGGTCCGAAGGAGATCCAGTAGGCTAAATCGTGGGGAAGAAGAAAAAAAATACCCATGTTAGCAAAACTCTGCTGGACGCGGGGAAGATAGCGGAAAGGGGCAAGAAAAGAGCAGCATACCGGCCTTCTTCTCCTGGAGGGTCATCTGGTGCCAGTCGACCTTCATGCGGTCCCTCAGCTGCATCCACAGCTCGGCCTGCTCCTGAGGGGGCATGGCCTCCCAGCGCTTCTCAATACCGGCGAGTGTGGGATTCGAGATGGCATGCTCGGAGGCGGCGCGGGTCTGCTGGGGAGCGATAGACTTCTTCTCAGTCTGAGGACGAGCGTTCAGGCAAGCCATTGGGCCCGAAACGGTGCGGTAGGAGCGCAGGCCCGTGGTGGGCACAGCCGAGCTGCGAGCAGCAGCGCGAGTAACGGAACGAAGGAACATTGTGTGCTAAGGGTGTGCGCGCGTATTAGAATCAATTGATCGCCAAAAAGCAGCTCTCCAGCAGCGAGAGGGCCGATTCGTCGGAATTCGAGATGGGAAATACCTGGGGTGGAGTGGAGGGGGGTACCAAGAGTCGCGATGGGAGACGAAGACGACGTTCGACTTGTGGTTTGAGGTGGAAGTCGAGTATCCGGACAGGCTAGCTTAGTCCGTTTTACCGCCGCCCTCATTGGTCCACGCCCGCTGCCCGTCCCGACCGTCCGCCATGGCTTTTGCCCCCAAGACACATCTTACGATGATGTTCCCAATTCCCGTCAGCACCAGAATTCTCCTATAGGGTATAGTTATACTACTAGTATAATCTAAGGCTAATCCGTCTAGTCTTCTAGGGTGTCCCTTCCCATTCATCCCCGGCGCCTTATCTTTTCTACATCTAGTCAACGCTGACCAGCCGCCCTTCTCACAACCCAAGACCCAAGTGCTTCCTACTACCTACTCACTACTACTCATACTACATGGCCGGCATTCCTTCTCAGCACTCAATGGTCGAGATAGCCTACTTCACACGAATATCAGACCTAAGCACTCGACTGAAAGCACAGTTTTGGGGGGTTGGTTGTGTGCAGGGTGACCTGATGTTTCTACTCTACATCGAATCGCGTATTCACACATCATGGCACGTAACAGTATTCTGTACAGACAAACGCTGATAAAGAGAAAGAAAAGCCCCTCCCCAATATTCGTTCATCATTGGAAAAAAGGAAAAGTGCCACGATCGCAAGATGATACGGTCACTATCAAAAGAAATCAAGTCGTAACGATCTCTCATTTAACTAAGTTTGTGCAGAGAAACTGAAGAAGTTGGTCGTTCCGAGGTACTCCGCAAAGTGAGTCAGAGTGATGTGTTGCAATTTGCAACAACCAAGTCACCTGGCCCGGGCCCAGCCGGCGCCATTGTTTATTTGCCAGCCTTACCACCGCTGGCCTCGGCCAGGACGGTCTTCCACTCGATGTCGCCCTTGTCGTCGGCGTGGATAGAGGTGTGGATGTTGAGGGCGTTCTTCAAGTTCTCGCGAGTGCTGGCGTAGATCATGGACCACTATTTCATCGGTGTCAGTAATGATTTGGGGCTTAAACAGCTGAGACGGTGCGAAACGTACGAGGGTAGGGGTGTCGCTGGGAACCCAGGAAATGAAGATGATCTTGCTTCTGTGGTGAGAAGAAAGTGAGCAAATATCCTAGCACGGACGTTACGCCATCGCCATCATCATACCTCTTGCCTTCACCACCGCCCAAGTCGTACTCGACGTCGTAAACTGCATAACGGGGAGCGGGGTTGCCCTTAGCATCCTTAGCGGCCGCGAGCTTTTCGCGGAAGACCTCGTAGTCCTCGTCCTGGGAGACCTCGTCGATGACGACCTCCTTCTTGTTGTCGGCGATCTTGAAAATGATGAACTTCGTCTTGCTTCCCTTGCTGTTGCCGCTCATGCGGAACTCGTTGAATGCGGTGATGCACTCATCGGTGATAGAAACACTGTCCTCCGTAACTTAGTTAGCCTTGTTCGGGGTTGCCATCGTCGAGTTCTCCGATACGGTAGGGATGTTCGAAGACACATGCGGAGATTTGGAGCAGTCAGGAACATACCCAGATGCGAGCTACAAAACAGGGAAATGAACGGTTAGCCCTGAGCGGGAAGCACAAGAGGGATTATTACTCACAGACATGGTTGTTTATGTGGATAAAGGGGTGAGATGAAAAAGAGGTAAGGCGAGTTGACAGACGGATGACCTGCGCATGCACGCGATGTTAGTTGGCCGGATTCCCCCTTATTTGTCCTTTATCATAATCGCAGAATGGTTGAAGAAAAAAGGGCAAATGAAAAGAGAAAAGTGGCATACGCACCAAGCACCGTTGGGACTGTTCAAATGACTTTTAAAGGGGGTCTGCGAAAGAGCAACGGGGACAGGATGAGGGGATGTAAGAGAGGAATATAACGGGGGAGGATGGATGGGAACCGAGATGGAGATAGAGGGGCATTTAGTTGTGCTTTGCTGGGTTGCTGCTGCGGCGGGCGGCGGCGGTGGGGGGGGATGCCTAGCACGTGACCCACCCGTCGCACCACCGGCCGCTTATTTCCCCTTCCCACCCATACTTATTTTCCCCCTGAATCCTGCGGTTATGACGAAATGAGCCTGGGCTTTATTATGAGGTTGGGTTGGTCCAGTAGTTACTGTAGGCAGGCGTGACCAACCCATACGCACAACTGTTGGTAATGCACCTGCCTGCACCCTGATGCATGTCAGGCATTTATTCACGGGCTATGACGGTGCGTTGGGGCCAGTGCCTGGTACATGAGCATAGATCGGTGACCCAGGCATCTGCGAACCATACCTCGGCGGTCGCTCTCTAAGTGTGGGGGCCTGCTATCTTGGGAGAGATCAATCTAGCTGTAATAATATGTTGACCAGCTAGACTAGCTAGCTAGCATTTCGTAGACGCCTGCCTGCCTTTGTCAGTCTGCTGTTGGCTTTTTCTATTCTTGGTACCTCCAGGCAGACGAATCTTGCTTTA